AAAACCATAACCAGCAAACTTTCCCAACTGCAAATTAAAGAAACCACAAAAACTGATTTCACTTATCAAAAGGGAAGAGATAGATAGCATTTCATTTGCTTGTTACATATATAAATTAACATACAACTTATTTCTCAATCGGTCGACGTGGTGCTAGTCCAGCACTACTAGTACGTACCCTTCTTTCCTTTGCCTGTTCTTCTCCGGCTGGTGGTGGAGTGATCAACAACCTCATGCCGGAAATTCCCATCGTTCAAAATCAACGGCAGGTCGTTACAATCATCGCCGTCTTCTTGAGTAATGATACGGATGCAAGAGCACCTTTCTAAAGATGCAAAGAAAGCATAACTGACACTGTGCATGAGCCACATAGCCACCCCATCAACCTTGCTACAGCCGTGTGATGAGCCGCTCGACGAGGACCGGAGTTTGGGCTCGACGGAAGAACTACTTGACCGGAAACTGAAGAAGCTGGAGCATGTGGTGCCATGGAATAGGAAATGGAATTAAGTTTTGGTAGCCAGCCACATTGTGAGAGATATGTTGAGAAAGCTATAGGCTTTAAGCATTTTCTCAAGGGACCTTTATTAGGCTTGTGAATGATTACAAGTTGAAATTCCAATATATGATATTGCAATTTGGTTCGCATTACTGTCCTTTCTGCCCTGTTGGGCCGTCTACGACTAGTGCAAAAATACAAAAATTAATAAGACTTAAACATCAATTATGATTTATGATTAATCTATGAATGCATCATACCAAGCGTATATATGATGTGATCTTCCTTCATTAATAAGTTAAACACCAAAAGTATTAGTTAGTTAGAAGCTAAATGGCTACTAGTACTAATTAAGGAAAAAAAAATAAGGTGAGTATATTGTCTAATACCTTTTTCTAGGATCATCAATAGAGGGGACGGTGAATTCGAATTTATGACATTTTAAAGAATTGAAATTCGAGTATTGTAGACCGAGAAGACAAAAACTAGTTGACAAATAGAACATTAATTAGTACTTGAGTTCATAAAGGGAACTGTTATTATCACTCTAAAAATCTCATTTTACACTTGTAGACATCGAAATTTCGGTAAATAAATGTTGACCGATAAATCAAAGTGTCAACGCTCATGTATTACATAAATTTTACACGTAACGTGTGACTCAACGAAAATTGAAATGAGTTGGAAAAGTCATCAAATAGGACACATGTCAACACCTGGCAGAAACGACTTATTTCATCTGGGATATTATATTCAAAATTAGGCATTGGAAAATTCTATAAATACAAGCCCATTTCATTCATTTAAGGGAACCAATTCATATTACACCTTGAAGCTCTGAAACTCCAAAGCTCTCAAGCATCCAGGTTCCCGAAGAATCAAGAAAGCCTTCTTCGTTCTTCGTTCATCGTTCTTCCAAGATCAAGCCCCGACGGCCCTTGAAGAAAGTGTTCTTCGTTCATCGTTCTTCTAAGATCAAGCCCCGACGGCCCTTTGGATCAACAATCATCCACCTTCAAGCCCAAGCCTCAACGGCCCATTGAAGAAAGCGTTCATCGTTCATCGTTCATCAACTGTTCATCCTCAAGGATCAAGCCCCAACGGCCCCTTTGGATCGACAACATCAACGAATCCGCTCATCCGCTGTTCATCAAGCCCAAGCCTCGACGGCCCTTGAAGAAAGCGTTCATCGTTCATCGTTCATCAACTGTTCATCCTCAAGATCAAGCCCCAACGGCTCCTTGAAGATCCGCTCAAATCCACCTTCAAAGATCAAGCCCACGGCCCCTTTGAAGAAACTTCCAACTGTTCATCCAAGATCAAGCCTTGACGCCCCTTGGATCGACGAAACACCTACCAATCAACACCTTACGGAGATCGAATCAGAGGATAAATTTGAGAGAGATTGTAACCCAAAATCATCAAATACAAATATTTGTTTGTGCACGTTTGTTCTTGTCTCTTTCGTTTCAGGAATTTTCCGTGTTCACAAATTGACACGCCCAGTGGGACAATCTCTACCTCTCATCTCTTCCTTCGTTCAAAGAATCCAAGTACACCTCAAAGTCAATGGCATCAAGCAAGGGACAAGCCGTTCTTGCAACCACTGAGGGAAGGATCTTAAGCACTTCTGCCGCAAATGGACGATCCATTGGCGCCACAACCGCTCCTCAACATGCCACTTCAAAATTGGTGCCGCTAAAAGAGCAAGGGGAGCATCCAAGGTGTGAGTCTGTCATCAACCTGATCTCGCTGGGGGCACCGAAGCATGATGTTAAGGCACACAAGATGACATCCCAAAACAGCCAACGACGTTCTTCATCAGCATCCTGGATGTTTAAAGGAAAGTCACGTCTATTGGTCGCACAAGTCATGACTATTGGTGTTACCTCCGTTGAAGAACAACTGGCTCAAATGAATGAAGCGATTGCAAGGCTAACACAGATTGTGGACGAAAAAGACTTGCAAATTGCTGCCCTCGTCAGCCGACTGGAGCCACAGGACGGCGATAAACCCGACCCAGAGAATGATCCACTAAAGAGAAGAGATGACGAAGAAGATGAGCCTCAGGTGGAGAAAAACGATGCGAAGCCGGAGCCAGACCAAGCAGCGGCACTCATGGGATCTCTTTCTATCCAGCAACTGCAAGAGATGATCACCAACACCATCAAGGCACAGTACGAAGGGAGCTCATATACCTCCGGGTTGTACTCAAAGCCGTATTCAAAGAAGATCGACGCCTTAAGGATGCCGATGGGTTATCAACCACCAAAGTTCATGCAATTTGATGGAAAGGGAAACCCGAAACAGCACGTTGCCCACTTCGTTGAAACTTGCAACAACGCAGGAACCGAAGGGGACTACCTCGCCAAGCAGTTTGTGCGCTCGCTGAAAGGAAACGCCTTTGAGTGGTACACGGATCTGGAGCCTGAGTCCATCAACAGTTGGGAGCAATTGGAGCGGGAATTCCTTAATCGCTTCTACAGCACCCGCCGCACTGTAAGCATGCTAGAGCTAACAAGCATAAAGCAGTGGAAGGACGAGCCAGTCATTGACTACATCAACAGATGGCGCACTCTAAGCCTCGACTGTAAAGACAGGATCTCGGAAACCTCTTCAATCGAGATGTGCATCCAAGGCATGCAATGGGGTTTGCAATACATCCTTCAAGGCATTAAACCGCGGACCTTCGAGGAATTGGCCACTCGCGCCCATGACATGGAGTTGAGCATCGCCCATCATGGGAAGAAAGAACCGACCGCCGACTACAAGAACGAAAAAGTTCTTGGGACAAAGGTGGAAAAGGCTGCATGGAAACCCACCAAGGAAGCGATGACGGTCAACACATCTCCCGTCAAAATATCCACACGAGGCAAGGCGATTCAAACCGAAGCTTTTCGTGATCAAGAGATGCGTAGACGCACTTTGAAGGAGCTTGAGGAGAAGACTTATCCATTCCCCGACTCTGATGTGGTTGCCATGCTAGATGACCTGTTGGACAAGAAGGTGATCAGTTTGCCTGAGTGCAGACGGCCAGAAGAGATGAATCGCACTGACAGTCCAAGGTACTGTAAATTCCACCGCTTCATCAGTCATCCGACAGAAAAATGTTTCGTGCTGAAAGATCTCATCATGAAGCTGGCTCAGAAAGGAATCATCGAGCTAGATCTTGACGATGTGGCGAAGTCAAACTATACCACCTTCACTTTTGGCTCTTCCGACTCAAAGTTTTCACCTCAACCGCTGGGGGCATCCTCCAAGACAAGCAAAGTTGAAGGATGGACTCAAGTCACTCCTAAGAAATTGCATAAGAAGCATACGTCTCCTCCACAAGTCCGCCAATCGGAAAGGGGGCAAAGCAGCTCTTGTCAACCTTCAAAGCAACATGAACGTGTTGAAGATGATGAAACTTCGACACGAAGATCGTCCGTCCCCATCATGATGCGCGACTTCTTGCCCGAAGACTTCTTCAATCACGCGGTCAAAGCTCCTTGCTATGAAAATTGTAAGGAACGCCTCTCCCGGATTGCTTGACAAAATTCACAAAAGCTCATTGTCCGCACGAGCCTAAACTGTAGGACACAATGCTCCTTGTTCGCACGAGCCTAAAACTGCATGAACCAAAGCTCCTCGCCTACACGAGCCTAAATTGCATGGCACAATGCTCCTGGTCTGCACGAGCATAAAAGGCAACACCAACGCTCCTGGTCTGCACGAGCATAAAATGCGACAACCCAAAGCTCCTTGCCTGCACGAGCTGAAACTGCAACACGGCACCAAATGCTCCTTGTCTGCACGAGTTGAAACTGCAAACGGCACCACCAAAAGAAAATACAAAAAAAATATATATATATCTATGTATTTGAACTACGTCTTGACTTGATCTCTTTCTTTGGAAGGGTACGTAGGCAGCTTAAATATTCAATTTCAAGTTCAGTCACATCAAAATTAAAAAAAAAAAGTGTTTTATTAAATAGAGTCAATTTTATTACAAAAAAAAAGAGAGATATATATATATGTGTATATATATATATTATATATATATATATATATATATGTATATCTAGTTCGAGCAGCAACAAAAGAAGGCAGAAAACGCCATGGACTCCAAAGCAACACCAGGCCCAAGCCTGTGTCAAGTCCAACGTCCAAGCCTGGTTCTCTCTCGGTCCGTACACACCTCAAATCACCATTTCCCTTGCCAACAAGCCCAAAACAGGCCTGGGCCCATAACGCACAGACCACGCTCAAGTTGATTTGCAAGACCATGACACGTACAAAGTGACGGACCGGCTGAGGAAGGAAGTTCGAATGCCACTGAGGAAGGTTCTCGAGCTGCCGGAGGTGTACATACCAGTGGGTTTCGATTCCGTACAACAGAGTGGTTTCCGTGGTGATGAAGAATTACAAGGAGTTACTTGGAGGCTGCTGAAAACTCTACCTCTCTTTCTCGCCTTCATCACTGCACCAGAAATTCGGAATTTCCAGCAAGCATTAGAACATGGGTTCCCCGCCGCAGAATCCCAACTGGGTCTTCGATTATAGTGTGATTGAGGACATTCTTGTGCCAGGTGGTGAACTTCCATCTCTTGACCCACCACTTCAACCCGTTCATCTCGCCCGATTCGAGTTGGGTCGGGTACCACAAAGTGCAGAAGCAGCAGGATTCCACTAGCCCAAATCCGAGTCCAGCTCCCTTTCTAGCATCGTCTTTGACGCTTGTAGCAGCGCCGTCAACAACATGAGCAGCTCTCCACGACAACCACAGCAACTCCAGCTGCACGACGAATGCTTTGTCGCTTTGAGTCACCACCACTCAAAGCTCTTCCGATCAGAAGAAGGCAATTGTCGCCGTCGACAACGACGGTTCAAAGAAGATTGCTGATACTTTTGGTCAGAGAACTTCGATTTACAGAGGGGTCACCAGATTTATTACAAACTGACAAAAAGCAAACCCGAAACGTCTATTAGTCAGATACAAATACATGGCTCCAGCGAGCAATTGGTTGTCCTTCTCTCTCATGTCTCCCATGGAAATGCTGAGGTCCTCTGAGTCCGATCAATCTCCGGCGGGATCTCGACCTTTAACCCGGTTCGATCCTCATAGATCTGAAATTGCCATGACTCCCGTGGATCTCTCCTCCCTTTCCCTTCGTCTCTGTAGAAATTTGGGGCACCCAGAGGGCACCCAAATTCGGTCTCTCCCTCTTCATCCGCCGCTGCCAACCTAGGCAGAGCAGAAAGCGACGCCGCCTTCAACCTCTAACTTCCCGTCTCCACCTTCTTCGTCCAAAGCAAGCACCATCGACTGCAGTCCGACGAATCGCTTGCGGCCAAAGCTATTCGAGCCTCGTCGGCGCATCGCGACTCCTCTCTCTCCTCCACTTACGCTGCTCGCGGTGCTCGCCTGCTCTCTGCAAACATATTAGATGAAGAGCAATGCAAAGAATTGAAAATGGGTTCTTATTTGGCTGTTGCCGCAGCCTCAACAAATCCCTCGCATTTTATTCACTTGATTTACAAACCCCCTGGCGGACCTGCTAAGGTCAAATTAGGGTTGGTTGGTAAAGGTCTTACCTTTGACAGCGGTGGCTACAACATCAAGACAGGGCCTGGCTGTTCAATTGAACAAATGAAATCTGATATGGGAGGTTCAGCAGCCGTATTAGGTGCAGCAAAAGCCATTGCTCAAATCAAACCAACTGGTGTAGAGGTTCATTTCATTGTTGCAGCTTGCGAGAATATGATGAGTGGAACAGGTATGAGGCCTGGAGACATTGTGACAGCATCAAATGGAAAGACAATTGAGGTCAATAACACTGATGCTGAAGGTAGACTTACTCTGGCTGACACATTGGTATATGCTTGTAACCAAGGTGTTGATAAGATTGTTGACCTAGCAACCTTAACCGGTGCTTGCATAGTTGCTTTTGGACCCTCAATAGCAGGTGTCTTCACACCAAGTGATGACCTGGCGAAGGAGGTGTTTGCAGCTTCAGAAATCAGTGGGGAGAAATTTTGGAGGTTGCCAATGGAGGAGAGTTATTGGGAATCAATGAAATCCGGAATAGCCGATATGCTCAACACCGGTGCTCGTCAAGGTGGTTCAATAACTGTTGCTCTCTTCTTGAAGCAGTTCATTGATGAAAAAGTTCAGTGGCTGCATATTGACATGGCCGGGCCTGTTTGGAGTGACAAGAAACGCACTGCTACAGGGTTCGGTGTTTCCACTCTGGTGGAGTGGGTTCAGAACAACTCTTCTTAAGTAGCTGAAGCGTCCGGCGGGAGAAGCATTACATCAGCATCACCAGCCTGGGTACAAATCCATGTTGATGGGGTTCTTTGGCGCCGCGAGTCGGACTTCAGTTGATGAATAAAACGTGCAGGAAAAGAAATGGCAAGGGTTAATGGACCTATGGACATAGTCTTGTTCAAGTTTTTACTGCGAAATCCTTCATATCTTTCCTGTAAGGGTCGGTTTAATTTCTCCTTTTGTATGATTTGCCTTTTATCTTGTCGTACACCACGTCTTCGTCTCGCCATTTGTGCGATACGTCAAGACCACCGCGCGCTCCTGCGGGCAGCGAGGACAGGATAAATGCAGTCCAGCAAGCATACGGTGCCGGTCAGATCCGGATGTTAGGGGTGTACATACAGCGATCGTGGATCATTTTGCTAGTGACAGCTTGCGCCATGGTCCCCATCTATGTGTGGCCCCCACCTATTCTCGAGCTAGTTGGAGAGACCACCAAGATTTCTGAGGCCGCCGAAAGGTTTGCAGTGTTGATGCTTCCACAGTTACTCGTCTATGCCATCAACTTTCCAATTCAATAAAAATAAAAAAAAATCTTACAAGCACAGAGGAAAGTTAGTGTGATAGCCTGGATCTCAGGTGCAGTACTTGTAGAACATGCATTTCTCAGTTGGTTGCTGATGATTAAGCTCGTTGGGGGAGTATAGGGTGTCTTGAGAGATTCCTTCAAGTTCATCCTTGCCGTCTCCGCCACAACGGATACGCTTGAAAATTGGGAGGATCGACGAGAGGCTGAGGTCGTCTAAGCTTGTGCGACTCGGTTGAGTTGCTGAACACGTGGAAGATCCCCTACTACATCTGCACGTCCGCCCTCTCTGCCCATCTTCCACCGCAGCGCCTGGCCTCCCTCGAGCTCATCACTATGGCCACCATGATAGCAAAAAAACTTCAACGACCGCCGTCAAACGACTAGCCGGTCATGAAGCTCGAAGCACCATCTTCTCGGCCTCCTTGCTCCGCTCCCTGCAAGTTCCTCTACCCATCACCCAAATTTATACACAAAAAAAAAAAAAAAAAAAAGAGGGTGGTGGTGCATCTGGCACCACGTGAAAAAAAAGGGAAGGGTGCATGGGCACCAACTAAAGAAACAGAAAATAATACAAAAAATAAGAAAAAAGGGTTTCATGGTGCGTCTGGCACCATGTGCAGAAAAAGAAAGAAAAAAAAAAATATATATATATATATTTATATAAAAATAAAAAATAAAAAATAGAAAAGAAGGAGAAAAGAAAAGAAAATGAAGTTATGATAATATGGTGTGTATGTACATAATATATGTCTGTATATAGCAACAAAAAAAAAAAAAATGCATCGAGAGAAATAAAGTCCATTTTATTTATTTTTTTCTGGAAATTTTACACAAATTTGCACTATGCATACCTTAAAAAAAAAAAAAAAAAAAAAATCAAATCAAATTTACAACAGGGGATATTCAAGGACGATCAGGTGGCGCCTCACAACTCGGCAGAGCTCCAGGAAGAGAAGGCGTCGGAGGTTGGCTGTTTGAAGCCTCAGCAGTCGGTACAGCCCCAGAAGACGAAGGTAAATGCTGCTGGAACAAACCCACAAACCTCCGATGATCAAGTAAAATCTGACCATCAGATTCCTGCATCTGGTCAATTTTCCTCTTCATGTTTGTGGCATAGTTATGTGCAAGCTTGTGCAACTGTTTATTCTCATGCTTGAGCCCTCTGATCTCTTGTTTGAGACTCATCACTTCAGCCGCCAACGATTCAACTTGACGGGTTCGAGCAAATAGGCGTTGGGCCATGTTGGACACAGAACCCGCACACTGCACACTAAGAGCCAGGGACTCCTTAACAGCCAACTCATCTGACCGCCTGGAAAGTAGTCTGTTATCTTTGGGAGTGACAAGGTTCCGGGCCACCACCGCAGCGGTCATATCATTCTTCATCACCGAATCCCCAACAGTAAGAGGACCAGTAGGGGATATGAAGGATGGGCGCCATATGTTGTCTGGAGAAGGCGGGACTGCCTCTTCACCAAGATTCAAGTCAAAACGACGGTCGGAGGGTCCAGACATTTTCAAAGTGTTGAAGGAAGAAGAGATCGGACAAATCAAGATCTTAGAAGTGCAAGAGGGGAGTTTTCACAAGCGAAAATTCAAGTGTGCTTTGAAACGAACTGCATGCCTCTATAAAAAATCAGCACTCGACGGGATTTCAGAGATCGAAGAGGCGAGCTCAGAATTCGAAGAGGCCATTCAAAAATCGAAGAGGCAAGCTCAGAAATCGGAGAAGCATCTTGCTTTTCCAGACGCGTCAACACCCGTCACACGCAAACTCAGCTTTGCGGAAATCACGGGCAATTTGTTAAAGCGCCAATCCCAGATATCGAAGAGGCGCCAGTCTTTTCAGCCTCGTCATCACCTGTCATATGCACACTCAACTTTGCGCAAATCACGGGCAATTTGTCGAAGATTTTCGGTGAAGGAGAAAGCACGTGAAATTTTATTGTTCAATCACGCGTTAGTTGTCGACACGAGTGAAAGAATAGTACCTCTACAAGTATTAAAGAACTTCCTATAAACTGTCTACCTTCACCCTACATAGTAAGGCAGACATACATAACATTTCTTCATCTCCAAAAATGCTTTCCCAACGAAACCTCTCGAGTCATTCAGTGTTCCTTATTCCTTGGGGTACCTCTGCAAGCCAATGACTCCAAAGCAAAAGTATCTCATATCACCAGGGTAGAAAGCAAGAGTATCTCATATCATGCGTTCTCTCTGTCCTTTCCTTTGTCCTTGTTCTTACCTACAAAGACAAGGATAAAGAAAACAATATGCCGGAACTTCCACTCGAACTCGGGTAAGGAACCGACTGCTTGGAACCCTTCCCTGATTGCCTACCTAGCACTGCTCTCGAGTACTCGTTTCGCACTGCTGCTGTACTTCCAAAGAAGCTGCCACATCTGCCTGGAGAACAGATAAGGCAAGTGAAAATGATACCTTGCAGCATGTGGAGACAAGGTGCAGAAGGAACAAGCAGAGAAGAATGCGGTTTGCACAGTCAACTCAGCAGAAGGAGTCCGAACTGAGGAACTCGAGAAGCTGCCATATCTGCCTGAAGAAACAAGCAGAGAAGAATGCAACATGCACAGCCAACTCGGCAGAAAGAGTCTGAGATGAAGAACTCGTTTTGACCCTCAAATTCTTGGGTCGACTTACTAGGCGTTGTGGGCTGCACGTGCCGATTCACCACCCTTGAATCGAATCCTTAAAGATCAAGTCACCAACTGGAAGAAAAGCCCATCAATCTTGAAGATCATACCGTTGACCAAACTGCTCAGGTGTGAATTAGAAAGATTGAACAAAGAAACAGGTTGTCACCTTCATCTCGTGCCTACTTGCCATGTGTTCGAGTCAACCTTCAAGAATCAAGCCTCAACGGCCCTTGAAGAAGTTTCCGGCCAAATTCAAGATCAAGCCTCGACGGCCCTTGAGGAAATCACAAGTCCGATTCAAGATCAAGCGTTCACCATATTTGAATCAAATCCAGTTCAAGAACAAGCTGTGGAAAATCAACAATTGGAGGAATCCAAAAAATCCTCCAACCCAGTTCAAGATCAAAGTTGTGGAAAGTCAACAAGCGCAACAAAATACGTGCCGATTCATCCACTACCAAAGCCAAATATCATCTACCACATGAAGCTCCTTGTGGCCCAATTTCAACCTTCAAGATCAAGCCTCGACGGCCCTTGAAGAAATTCCAAACAAAAGTTCAAGAACAAGCCTCAACGGCCCTTGAAGAAATCTCAAGCCCAATTCAAGATCAAGCCTCGACAGCCCTTGAAGAAATTTCAAACAAAAGTTCAAGAACAAGCTTCAACGGCCCTTGAAGAAATCTCAAGCCCAATTCAAGATCAAGCCTCAACGGCCCTTGAAGAAAATCTCCAGCCCAATTCAAGATCAAGCCTCGACGGCCCTTGGATCGACATCTACAGTAAGGGACTTCAAAACGCATCTCCTACACGTGACAATCACATGTATACGACGTGCTTTGAAGTGGGGGCATTTGTAGACATCGAAATTTCGGTAAATAAATGTTGACCGATAAATCAAAGTGTCAACGCTCATGTATTACATAAATTTTACACGTAACGTGTGACTCAACGAAAATTGAAATGAGTTGGAAAAGTCATCAAATAGGACACATGTCAACACCTGGCAGAAACGACTTATTTCATCTGGGATATTATATTCAAAATTAGGCATTGGAAAATTCTATAAATACAAGCCCATTTCATTCATTTAAGGGAACCAATTCATATTACACCTTGAAGCTCTGAAACTCCAAAGCTCTCAAGCATCCAGGTTCCCGAAGAATCAAGAAAGCCTTCTTCGTTCTTCGTTCATCGTTCTTCCAAGATCAAGCCCCGACGGCCCTTGAAGAAAGTGTTCTTCGTTCATCGTTCTTCTAAGATCAAGCCCCGACGGCCCTTTGGATCAACAATCATCCACCTTCAAGCCCAAGCCTCAACGGCCCATTGAAGAAAGCGTTCATCGTTCATCGTTCATCAACTGTTCATCCTCAAGGATCAAGCCCCAACGGCCCATTTGGATCGACAAACATCAACGAATCCGCTCATCCGCTGTTCATCAAGCCCAAGCCTCGACGGCCCTTGAAGAAAGCGTTCATCGTTCATCGTTCATCAACTGTTCATCCTCAAGATCAAGCCCCAACGGCTCCTTGAAGATCCGCTCAAATCCACCTTCAAAGATCAAGCCCACGGCCCCTTTGAAGAAACTTCCAACTGTTCATCCAAGATCAAGCCTTGACGCCCCTTGGATCGACGAAACACCTACCAATCAACACCTTACGGAGATCGAATCAGAGGATAAATTTGAGAGAGATTGTAACCCAAAATCATCAAATACAAATATTTGTTTGTGCACGTTTGTTCTTGTCTCTTTCGTTTCAGGAATTTTCCGTGTTCACAACACTACTCATAAATGTATTTTTCTTTATAATTATAGAAAGTTTGGAGTGCAAAATAAAATTTTTGGAATGCCAATAACAATTATTTTCATAAAAAGAGACTTCATCCCAGTGAAAGATCCAAGAAGACAAAAGCCGAAGAGGACGTCCTCGCAACCTACCATGCCCAATGCCTAAAACCCAATTCTCTTTTTGGCATAGTAGCTATGCTTGAAGAGAATATCAAAGATGCATTGAATA